AATTTTTTTAATATTCTAAATATTCACATCGTTAAAAAAACCAAGAAAAATGTTATTTTTATTCCTAAACTAATTTTTGAAAAGATATTTTGAATAAATCAATTATTTTCTTAAAAAATATAGTTTTTTGTTGTTTGTGCTTATTTACATTAAAAAACAAGCAAGAAATTTTTATACTTATCCACCGAAACAGTTTTTGAACATAGTTATTGAATAGTTTGATTAACTTCGTTAAGAAAAAAAAACAATACGTATTTATTCACAGAAATGATTTTTTGGAATAATTTTACTATTTTTATAAAAAAAAAAATATATTTTACATTGAAACAATTTTTGAATATATTGACTATTTTCATTAAGAAAACAAAACCAAAAAAAAATATATATGTACATATATACATATTTATGCACTGAAATAGTTTTTGAAAATATTTTTTGAATAAGTATTTTGAGTATTTAAAAAAAAAAGAAAATTCATTTAAAAGTATAATTTTTGAAAAGGTTGTTTGGATAATTTGATTATTCGTATTAAGGCAACGAAACAAGAAAATTAAATTTAGCAGTTGATAAAGTGGATTTAAAAAAAATTTTAATTTTAAATTTTTCTCTAAATCATTTAGAAACCCTAACATCGCGTTTTGAAAGACCAAGAAAAATGCGGAGCTTATAACACGTACATACAAGTTTATAATATATGCACATATGTACATATACTCCAATATAATAATTTAGCACAAATTATTGTATTAAAATACAAAAGGAAAGAAAGCAAATAATTAAACAAAACGCCCGCCTTGCGCAAGTTTTTAACATTTTAGCAATAAATGCTGTAAACGAAAAATGTTTCCTCATCCAAAATCATCCAACGCTACTAGTGTACACTTGTGTGCAACTAATTTCATAATTAAATTTCGGGTAGATCATTAAATAATAAAATTTCATTACATTCTTAACAATACAACAAACAAATGCTTGAACAACAGTTTTTTTCTTTCTTAATTTTAACAAACTTATATACTCCAGCAAGTTCATTGTAAACTGGTGAAACTAAGGAAATATACATATGCATGTATGTATGTTTGTAAAACATTCAGCTATGGGTTAATCGTTGGTCAATTGGTTGCTTGGTTTATTGGTTGGTCGGTTAATTGGTTGGTTGGTTGTTTGGTTGGGTTAGTGATAACATTGATGGATTATGATAGTTGTGGCGGTGGTGGTACATGGTGGTGATACTTGGTTATATGCTGTTGATGTCGGTGATGGTTAACGCTTGGAGTTTTTCATAGTATTTTATTTTATTCTTTTATTTTTTATTCGTAAAATCAATGCAGTTTAAATTTATGCTTTTACTCGACGCTTGCATCACGTTTATCAACTACACACAGTCCACGGTGGGGTTATTTGCAATTATGAACGTCGGCATATTTGTTGTTGGGTTGGAGGTGACGGACGGTTGGTTTTTGTTTATGTTATTCAAATAAATTATTTGCCAGGATTTAGGGAAACGAATTTTGTAGATAAATAGAAAAAAGGATAATTTTAATAATTATTCTAATCAATTACAATTACAATGCAGACAAATTGTTTACATTACACTAGATTTGAGTGTGATAAAATAATTTTCGGTTTACATGCAAGTTTTTCCAATACAAAATGCAGAATTTCGGTTTTTGTAAAAAATTAAAAAAAAAGTTGTTTGAAATAATTTTAAAAGTGAAATTATGATGTTCTTGCCTAGCTAATTTCGGTACTAAGTA